CCTAAAGGGCCCCATTTTTTAGGGCCTCCACCTCTAAAGGGCCCCATTTTTGCATCTTTTTTTCAATAAAAAGTATAATTTTAATTAATTAAGTAAATAAATAAATAAATAAATAAATAAATAAATAGTAATGAAATTGATAATGACATAAATAAATATTAATATGTCCTACCTTTGAGCGACCCAAGTTTGTTAACTTTTTTATTTAGTTGTTCAAAAATATTGAATATCCTTTTTAAAGTAAGTGATTTATAATGTTAAATTTATATATACATATATGTGATATTCTTGTATTATTAAACTTATATAGACATGTTAATGTAATGTGAAAAATCCTACTGATGAATTTATATTCTTGTATTATTAAATTTAGAGATTTTTTAATGGTTTTCATTAAATAATAAGACAGTGATCTTAATGTACTAAAGCAATTATAATTGATTATAAAAAGTTATTCATTTCTAAAAATTATATTTATATTATCTTGAAATATTCAAATATTTCTTGCAACTTCAAAGGAGAGATTATTGTACTATTTATTCTTTTTAATGTGCTGATTGTTAAAAATTGCAAATTTGCAATTCTATTTAGACTACAATCAATTTGATAATGTTTTGTATTGGGAAAAGGAAGAATTCCAATACATATAAAACTACTATTCCCATCCCACAAAATTTGTTAAATTCTAGTTATTATATTTGTGTGAAATTTGTAAATTTATACTCTTATGAAAATAATTTTAACAAATGAGTTTTTTCATGTAACTTTTATATTTTAAATAGTTTCGATTTTAAAAAATATAATGGTTCAAACTTGACCATCATTGAGAAAGTATATAATAACATTGAAACACTAAGTACTTTGTGGTACATCACTGCTCATCTTCCAAAGAGGTCACAAGTTCGAGTTTCATCCCAATCTAGGATGTTGATATTAACTAGAACAAATATTATAATAGGTTTAGAAGAATGTTCCAAAAAAACATTGAAACATTAATAATCATTCGTTAAAGCAGTGCAACTATTTTGTTTATTAATTTTGTTTGTATACCTTTTACGGTGCTTTAATTTTTTGCGGCCTCATATTCTCTGCGACTGCCCCTGAACATCAGCCAGAGACATCATCACATAAACCCTTCTGCCCAGCTCTGAGGACCAGCGGCAGCTTCTCTTTGGGTATCAACAAAAGCTATAACCTTGATTATAAATTTAGAGTATTGTCTACGTGGTATATTGCCAAAAGAAAATAATTTCTCTCTTTTACGGGCTTGTCATCTCATATCCTCAAATCTCAATCCTGCAAGGCTGCAACACAAGATCAACTTTTATTATTGGTAATATGTACAAAATTGTTCATTCAAATTAGTTTGAAAAGAAATTATACTACGTCCATAATTGTTGGACGTAGTATCAATGTGTTTACTCTTATCATGCATCCATAATTGTTGGCTTTTTTACTTCGTCTTTTATTTGAACATTTTAGATTGATTTGCTAGCTAATGCGTGCGCCATTTTTGAAAAACATATTATGGCCGATTCACTAAATAAAACTGATAAAGTTCAAATTCATCGAAATCTGGGAAATAGGCTTTTGCTAATAAACTAAGAGGCCGTTTGACAACACTATTTTTCGGCTTATCAGACTTATCAGCCAACTTTTTCACCAAACACGTAATTTTTTCTTTCGCGCGCTGAATTATGTAATAAGCTGAAAAGGTAAGGTTGAAGTTACTTTTTTCTGGCTGTATTGGCTGAAGTTACTGTAGATGACTTTTTTAGCTATTTTTACATATAAATTTTTCTTTATTTTATTAATAAAATCTATTTTAAATATAATTTTTTCTTAAATCAGCAAAATCAATCAATGCAGCCACTTCAGCCAGAATTTTATAAATTTCAGTAGAATCAGCCACAACAGCCGATTTTCGTGCTACCAAACGGGCTCTAATTGTCATTGTTATTTTTATTATTTTGAATACTTACTATAAGTGTCATATTTACGTACATGCATTAAAATTAATTACCCGGAGTAATAATTAAAAGAGAAATGATGCTAGATAGGACTCCACCTTTTGATATGTAAGCAGCTAGGAGTGACAACTTTTTAACTCCTAAATAGGAGTATATTTTCCGTCCATTCCAAATTTGCCCTAGTGAACTAAATACCCTGCACGCTGCCCCTTTCTTTTAACTCCCTCTTGCGGACAAACTCAGCCACGCACTTCAGCCAAAGCTTTGCCGAACAACGCACACAACACAGAAAGGTAATGAGATAAGGCGAGGCAGATGGGCAGTCATGCGGCGGCAGCGAGCGTGGCGGCGGCGAGCGCAGCGGTAGCGGCAGGCTCGAGCCGCGCGCCTGTCATGTTTTTCTCCTCGGCTTGCTATGCTCCTCTTTCTTCTAGTCCCTTCTTCTCCTTGCTCGGCAGCATGCTTGTGTTTTGCTCCATGTCTGCGGTGTGAAGCTTGTGCTTATTCCAATTTCTAATCAATTTTTTGGTTTGCTTTTTGCTTAGTTTCCTTCTCCGGCTTATTTTCTTTTAGTATCTGCTCCTCTATGGGCCGGCACGCTCATCAGCGACAACGGCGGCCGATATTGTCATGGAAGAAAAAATTGTAAGGGTGGCAGATCCGGCAGCAATAGTGAGGCGCTTTTTTAGTTTTGAATTTTTCCTTCTTCCTCCTCTTGACTCCGACCCTGGCAAAAAAACAACAACAGGCTTCCATTGTTTTTGTTTTGCTCCCCCACTGACTCAATTTTGCTCCCTCTGTCTCTCTTTGTTGTTTTTAATTTGATATTAATGAGAATATTGATTGTACAAAACAGAGAATAAGATTGAGATTTGGTTGTTTTCCGATTAGGCTGTTGTATTGTGTGACCTACTGAGCTAATGACTTTCTCATTCTATAGTATTTTTCTTTTTTTGTTTGTTTGTTTTTGTTAATGTTTCTTTCTCATTCTATTGTTTATTTTTAATTTTTTTTTTAATTTGTAGCATCTTTTATCAATGTTATGACTTTTACCTCACTGCTATATTTATAAATACTTGAAATTATAGAATTTTATTTGTCAACATTATGAAGCTTTGTCATGACAAAAACAATGACGATGTCAAAATATTAATATTACAATATCACATGATAATGTTACAATTTCAATAGCATTATTTTTAATATATCAACACAATTTCAATATGAAAGTGGTTTCTTATAATTGTTTAATTTCATTTCATTGCCACCATCACAAAATTATCAAAACAAACAATGACATTGTGAACAAAATAGACAATGTCATATAGGGGCATTATAATACATTATTATATAATGACATTGTAATTCATTGGGAATAATGTGTTTTTTATTTTTAAAATGTAATTTTTCATAGCATTGACTTTTTATTATATGCCATTTTTTATATCAATACCAATGTCATGGTAACTTTTGACATTGTCATATTTATTATCATTAACATTGCTGCAATGACATTATTTATAGCATTGTCATTGTCATTTTCCCTTTGTTACAATGGTATTGTTACGATGACATTTTTATGACTCTGTGACATTTTCCCCACATTATAACAGTGCTGCAATATTGTAGTATTGACATTGTTTTAACAATGTCATTTTTATAGCATTGACATTATAATAACCGTCATTGACATTGTCATTATTACATTTTCATAATGATTGACATTCTTGTGACATTTTTATGACATTGTCATTGACATTTTTATGACATTATCATTGTGATTAATTAACATTACAACAATTTAATGACGTTGTGATTTTGTTATTGATGGAAGTAAATCCACCGGAAAATAATTAATAAGAGATAGCCGAAAATAATTAAAGTGCTCAGGATAATCTTTAGAGAGATAAATGTATGTAGTGTATTCAGTGTATTGAGCTTGATTAACATTCCAAGGATTACATGATTTTATAGTAGAAAATGAGACATAAAAGATTTGGGCGACGTGGTCGCCATGTTCGATTTGATATGCAAATCAGTAATCCGGATCCGCGGGATCCTTTGTTGATTCACTTGATTGTGTAAATATCTTGAAAAGACGTCATTGATGTAGTTGGTCCGTACGGAGTCACCATGTAGGCAAAACGTCCAGAGACACCATGCATATGATATTTGGATAAGCTTCTACTACTATGTCCAGGGTCGCTGTGGACGCTCCTCTGACTGAGGTACTTGATCGCGTCCATGGTTGCTGTGGACATGCTCTCTGGATAAGCCTACCCCGACATCCACGGTCACTGTGTAGTCCCTGATCTTCTATTAACTTGCGTCCACAGTCGCCATGTACAGTCTTTTATCTTCTAACCCGCGTGTGGTCACCACGTACGAGCTCTTCCTATACCTTATCATCATCCGCGCATAGTTACCATGCACATCAACCTCTAATTGTTTTCATCCATGTTAACCCGGTCAACATTTATCCATGGTTGGGATAATTATACCATCACAAGCCCCCCACTCCCTAAGCCAAATAGCATATCTGCGATAGGGAGTAAAGAGACACAGTTGCCGTGTCAATATAGAGTACATGGTCACCATGTCCAGCTTTGTTTTTGTTTTTTACCCATTCAATCATTTAGATTTTTATTTTTTATTTTTAACCAAAATGCACTCCATGACTTAAAATTAAAATTACTCTCACCCAATCTCCCAAATAGCTTTGCAGGCCACGACCAGTCACCTTTGCTCCATTCCAGGCCACAACTCGCCGTCAACCATCACTCGGTCAACGTCGCCGGCCGCGGGTTCAATTTTATCGGCGTCGCCGGCCGCGGGTTCAATTTTATCGGCGTCGCCGCCGACCACCGAACTCCTGTAGCCAAGCCTCTCACTGTCGCGAGTCTCCTCTGTTGCGCCCTGTCTTAGCCGCCATCACTGTGTAGTTTGGGCTGCGAGCACTTTAGCGTGAAGCAAACCACCGCCCTCGTCGGACGCTGGCGCCTTCCGGTGACATCCAGGACTGTTCGCCGCCGTCGTTAGGTCACGCAACAAGCAGGTAAGCACCGGTCTCCCTTTTGTCTTCTTTCCCTTTATTTTGATTTGATTTGTTTCTTCTTTCTCCAAATAAGTAAAGGATTAAATTAGTCTTGTGTTGACCATAGCTGCCTCGGCTATACCCTTGTTAACAGTTTACTACTAGTACGGAGTATTAATTTTGGCTTTGAAACATAGCTCCTTTGCTATCAATTGTAATGACATCCCTTTCAATTTTTTTTTTTTGAATAGCTAATGACCTCGGCTATCCCTTTGAATATACGTAGTAATTTTTTTTTTATAATTAACGGCTGATTTTTCTCTTGCCCCCTTTTTTTGCATAATATTTTAGCTGTTAATACTCAATGGATGTACTGGACTCCATAGACTCTGATGAATTGCTCAGTGATGACGGGGAATTAATGTTGGAGAATTTTCCTCATCCCTGGGCGGATGTTAATTCTGATGTTGAAGAAATTAGTCCCATAAAGCCACGAGCCGCTCCAGTCAAACCACCAAAACGTCGCTACCGTGGCCCGTATCCATCCTTAGATCCGAGCCCCATTTTATACCATAGGTCGCGCCTCTCAATTTCCAAGTTTCAAAAGTATAAGAAATTTTTTCCGTCCACAGTGACTGTCCGATGTCCCGATTCGGAGGATATTGTAACCGATCCTCCTAAAGGTCACTTTTTTGGGGTGCATATTCTCTCCATAAAATTAGGATTCCGCTTTCCCACACACCCTTTGATTATCGAGTTTTTAAATGATCTTGAAATTTCACCTTGTCACTTGACTCCGCTCGGTCATCAGTATCTGGTAGCTTTCCTGGTCCGGTGTGAGACACTTGGGATTGAACCGTCCCTAGACCTCTTCAAGCACATGTTCCGAGCTGGGCAGTGCTCGGCATCTGATAGTCTGTCCTGGGTGTCTATCTCTCAGCGCAACCACTTTGATATGTGGAAGGTCACTCGTAGCAACGAAGCCAATTGGAAAGAAGAATTTGTCTATGTGTCGTCTGGATCTCCGTTACCTTTTTCATCGTCTTTGAATTGTCGATTTAAGAAGTATTCGTACCCGAAACTTCCAGTTGACCAGGAGACATGGCCGGCTATGATTCTTTCTGGAGGACCGTATAGCCTCTCTGCCTTTACTTCCGAGGACCGCCTAACCACGGTTGGACTCTATTCGCCGTCACCATGTTCGGGTGCACACGCATCCACGTCCACGGATCAAGGTTGTCCACAGTTACTTTGTCTATAGGAGATAATACACGCATATATATATTAACTAACACATATGCATACCTTTTTTTTTTTTTGCAGATATGACATCGCGGTTGGAGATGTTCCAAAGCTTCGACCAGGATGGGCCTCGCGGTAGTGACCAGGGGCGCTCTGACAAGAAACCAAGGGTTCCCTCCGTCACAAAAGGCAAGGATGCCATTGTAACTGTGCCTTCATCCATTGCAAAACGCAGGGCCGCTAGCCCCGCAGCCCGTGTCACCCGTAGCATGAGTGATATTCCCACGGCGGGGATGACTACTTGGTTACGAGGTAACATTGAGTTACCTCCGCTCTTATCACAGGTGATCACGGCGACTGAGAAGGAGAAAATTTCAACACTTGACCATGCTGCTTTAGAGAAGAGGAGCCACCATGGCCTGGCCGAGGTAACCCTCCCATTTCCCCGTTACCTTTTATTTATGCATCTCGTGATACTAATTTTTTTTTTCTTTTCTTTTTTGTAGCTACTGTTGTCCATCTCCGAGGTGAACCGAAGGAAAGATGAGCGCGAAAAAGATTTGTCGCTACAACTCACCGAATTAGCGAAGGAGGTGGCATCGCTCAAGCTCGTGCGTGACTCACATGCAGCCGAGGTCACTGTGCTTAAAGAAATGCACGCCGTGGAGTTGGCCAATGCAAGGGGGCGGGCCGTGGATGCATACAAGAATTCTCCAGAGTTCGTGTCTGATCAGGAAGCATACATTAATGCCCACTTGAACGATATTAGCAAGCATTGGTTGTCTACTCCGGAAGGTCGTGAGAAACTGGCCTTAGAGAGCTACATCTCCTACCAGATCGGGATATATGCCACTCAACAGAAAGTATATCCTATCTTGAGGGATAAGGCTGGTGCCTCTTGCATCACTGATTGGGGACTTCCTCCTGAGGTTCCCAACCCTGAGATCCCGGTAGCCAACACGCCCCTGGACTATATTCCTTTTGACAGACTCCCCACTGATGAGGAGCTTGGCGATCTTCCTTCCGAGACAGATCACCCAGCTTCGACTGCTTCTGTGCCTTAGAGCATGCATGGGAGTGACGGATGGACGTAGTGTAGACTTTAATTCTGTCATGTCTTCAATTACGAGTACCTGAATTGCTAAACATGTTTTGAATTTCATAAAATAATAATGATGCATGTCTTATTTTCCTTTCGTTATTGTTCAGTATTATCGCATAATTAATTATTTGACCAACATTTAGGTTTTATGAGACCACGATGTGACCATGCCTTGTTTGGCATGGTTTGTGTGATCATTCATAGTAGTGTACGGTGATACTACACCAAGTGTATAACTTTGGTGCATTTATCGCCCCGTATCTGCCTAATTTTCAATTGAGGCATTGTGCATTTAGATAGAGTGACTGAGGACAACGATAGGCACAAGGTGTCGTTGACACCTCCTCCTTCGCTACATTGCGCGCATCACTTATTCGCAAAAAATAGGACTAAGTGAGCGAACCTAACACCTGAGTGACTTAGGCTTGCTCTGGGGCACACAACGTTTTTTGGGAAACATGGCCGCTATCCGATATATTTCACAGATGCATCCTGACCATACAACCCTGAGGGTTACGCATTTGTTGGGATCAATTTGCAATGTATCCTCGTCCCCTTTCTAGGGGCGAGTCTACACCCCTTGCGTGTTGAGAATTTTAGCTATGTCATAGGAGACATGCCTGACTACTTACTAGTTTTTTATTTCATTTTTTTTTTGTTTTTTTTTCTTGTTTTGGGTGAGTTTTACACCCACGGTGTCCTTGGATGACACCTTGTAGTTTGTTTTTTGTTTTGGGTGAATTTTACACCCCTGGTGTCCTTGGACGACACCTTTTTTTTTTTTTTTTTTGTTTTGGGTGAGTTTTACACCCACGGTGTCCTTGGATGACACCTTGTAGTTTGTTTTTTGTTTTGGGTGAATTTTACACCCCTGGTGTCCTTGGACGACACCTTTTTTTTTTTTTTTTTTTTTGCGGCCAAGGACTGCCATTATTCACTCTTGTGTGGATCAAGGAGATCTCTTATTTGAAAACAGTGGATGGAAAAGGACCGCGTTTACCACCATACGTGGTTACCATACATCATAATCATCAGGTGGAGTATCAGTGATAAATTATCAATGGTAAAACTTGAGCAAGTGTTCTGCGTTCCAAGTCCTCTCAATTTCTTTTCCCTTCGGTGTCTGGAGTTTGAACGTCCCTGGACGGATCACTGATTTAATCACGTAAGGGCCTTCATAATTTTTGGCAAATTTCCCCCCTTCCAAGGGTTTGCTGACCTCCCTTTTTCTCAAGACATAGTCCCCAACTTCAAAGTTGCGTTTGCGAACTCGAGAATCATGGTATCCCTTCACCTGCCTTCTATAGTTCTCCGCACGACAGAAAGCCGCTTCCCTTCTTTCTTCAATAAAAAGAAGCTCGGTCGCCATGACCTCCTCGTTCGTCTCGGGGTCATATTCCTCTTCTCGGCGGCTATGGAGAATTACTTCCGCAGGTGCCCTCGCCTCGAAACCATATGTCAAGGCGAATGGTGTCTCCCCTGTGGCCTTTCTTGGTGTGGTCCTGTATGCCCAGAGTATCTGTGGTAGTTCTTCAGCCCACTCCCCTCCGGCAGTTTCCAGTTTTTTCTTCAAACCGTCCATGATCGTGCGGTTTGCATTCTCCACTTGGCCATTCGCTTGGGGATAGGCAACTGACGCATTGCTATGTTTGATCCCCCAACTCTCACAGAATTCGTTAAACCCGGATGCTCCGAATTGCCTCCCATTATCGGTTATGATCTGTTGGGGTACTCCAAAGCGACAAATGATGTGCTTCATGACAAATTTTCTGCATTGCCCTTCAGTGATGCTAGCTAGGGGTACTGCTTCTATCCATTTAGTAAAATAGTCTATGGCAACGATAACCCATCTCACGCTCCCTGTTCCCCTTGGTAAGGCACCAATGAGATCTATCCCCCACCTTGCGAAAGGTATAGCCGTGCTGATGGGGGTGTAGTTGGTGGCTGGACGTCCCGGAGATTTCTGGAACTCTTGACACACCACACACCTCTTGACAAATTCAGCGCAATCCTTAACTATGGTTGGCCAGAAGAAACCATGTAGGATTACCTTTCGGGACATGGTGTGTGCTCCTTGGTGAGCTGAGCATATCCCTGCATGTATCTCTTCCATGGCAACCTTGGCTTCATCTGGTCGTAAGCACTTGAGAAGCGTGCCATTGTAAGACCTCTTGTACAGTTTCTCATTCAAAATGGTATAACTCGGCGCCCTCATCTTAGTCACCTTGGCTTCAACCTCCTCCGCGGGCAGCACTCCCTCGTTGATATACTTGATGAGGGAGTCAATCCAGTCCGCGTCCCTCGTGGTTATGGCCTGGACAGGGCATGCATATATGCTGGAAGTGTCCAACTCTTCTATTCTCGCAATCTTTGAAATCCTTTCCGGTGTCTCTGCACTTAGTTTGGATAACATGTCTGCTTCGACATTTTGGGCTCTTGGTATCTGTTCAATTTCATAGGCGATGAACAATTTCAAAAGTTCTAGGGCAGCGTCACGATATAGCCGCATCCGTTCTTCCTTCGCCTCAAACTCAGTCGTGATCTGTCCAACCACTAGTTTTGAATCACACCGTATCTTGACCTTCTCTGCCCTCATGTTCGCCGCCAAGCGTAGGCCACATAGTAGAGCCTCGTACTCTGCTTCATTATTCGACACCTTGAAGTTGAACCGGATAGCGTAATAGGCCCTGAAGCCTTCGGGCGTGGTGAGGACCACCCCTCCTCCGCAAGATTTGGCCGCGGAGGAGCCATCCGTGGACAATATCCACCACTCTTGTTCATCGTCGCCATGCTTCATCTTCGTTGCTTCCTCCCGCGCTGTGCATTCTACTATGAAATCTGCAAGAGCTTGCCCCTTGATGGAAGGTCTTGGCTTCACCTCTATATGAAATTGACTTAGATACACTGCCCATTTGATCATCCTCGAGGAAGCCGTGGGACTTCTCATTAAGGCACCCAGGGGTTGGTGTGACAGTACATGGACAGGGTGAGCTTGGAAGTATTGTGTGAGCCGTTTGACCGTCCACACCACGGACAGAACAGTTTTTTCTATGGTTGTGTACCGTAGCTCAGCGTCCCTCAAAGTTTTGCTTACGTAGTAAACGGGTCTCTGGACGCCGCCATCTTCACGCACCAGGACAGAACTAATTGCACTTGGTGAAACCCCTAGGTATAGGTATAATGTCTCCCCCGCCTCAGGTTTGGACAAGACAGGAGGAGACAAGAGGTAGTTTTTCAATCCCTCGAATGACTTTTGGCACTCCTCAGTCCATACGAAACCCTTTGATTTCTTCATGATGTGGAAGAATGGCGTGGCTTTCTCTGCTAGTTTTGATAAGAAGCGGTTCAAAGCCGCTAAGCGTCCCGTCAATCGTTGCACTTCTTTGACATTACGAGGAGGTTCCATTTCGAGTATGGCCTTGATTTTCTCTGGATTTGGCTCGATTCCTCTTCTACTCACCAAGTAACCCAGGAACTTCCCTCCTTGGACGGCGAACGTGCACTTCTTTGGATTGAGACGAAGATTGAACTTCTCCATGATTTTGAACACCTCTGCCAAATCCACGGCATGCGTACCTGCTCTTTTACTCTTCACAATCATATCATCCACGTAGGCCTCCATGGTGCGGCCTAGGACAGGTCGAAAAAGTTTAGAGATCATGCGAGTGTACGTTGCCCCAGAGTTTTTCAGTCCAAACGCCATGACTAAGTAACAGAAAACACCCTCTGGAGTCATGAATGAGGTCTTCTCTGCATCCTCCTCATGCATGCGAATTTGGTGGTATCCACTGAAAGCATCCATGAAACTCATCAATTCACACCCCGCTGTCTCGTCCACCAATTGGTCGATGTTAGGCAATGGGAATGGATCCATCGGGCATGCCTTGTTTAGGTCAGTGTAATCAACACACATCCTCCACGTTGGGGGTTTAGGTGCCAATACCACATTTGCCAACCATTCTGGGTATTTTACCTCCTTGATGTGGCCGATTTTTAACAAGGTGCCCACTTCTTTCCTTACGAATTCCCGCCTGTCCGAGGACATGTAACGTTTCTTTTGTTTCACCGGTTTTGACATAGTGTCCACGTCTAGGCGATGAGAGATGACATCTCTACTGATGCCCGGCATGTCCTCTGGTCCTCTTGCAAATATGCCTTGGTACATAGTCAGGACAGTTATGACCTCAGCGCGGAGCTCAGCTGACAATCCGGTGCCTATCTTAACCTTGCGCTCTGGGGTTGCAGGGTCAAGGGTGACCTCTTCTGTCCCTTCTGCTGGTTCAGCACGGGGTCTTCGCTCTTCATCTTGTAGGTATTGTGTGGCCACAGTGTTTACCTGGAGGCCATGCCGCCCCACCTTCTTTGTGATTTTTATGTAGCATGTTCGGGCGAGCTTCTGGCTCCCGCGTGCTATCCCCACTCCGGTTGGTGTTGGGAACTTAATACAAAGATGTGCCGGGGACACAATGCACTGCAAATCTTCCAGGCCTGGCCGTCCGAGTATAAGATTATGTGCACATGTCAGTCGGACAACTACGAACTCCATGTTGAGTTTCACTTTATGGGATGTGTCCCCCACCTCTACCGGGACCGTGACAACTCCCTCTGCCTCGATAGAGTCACCCGTGAACCCAGATAACGGGGTTTTTATCGGATGGAGTTTTCCTTTGGACAACTTCAGTTTCTCGAAAGTGTCGAGGTACATTATGTTAACGGAACTACCAGTGTCGACCAGGGTACGGTGTATGACAAGATCATTGATCTCCATTTTGATAACCATGGCATCCCGATGTGGGCTTGGACATGGTGGTAGGTCATCATCAGTAAAGCATATAGGTTCACGTCGTACCTTCTTTTTCATTGGAGAGTGCATGATCTCACCAATGTACAGTTGACGAGCCCATTTCTTTCGAAGGGACGAAGAGTCCCCGCCTGCATTACCTCCATAAATGAAATTGATGTCATGGTTCCTCTTGTCTCGCTTCGGCCCTGGCTCATCCGAGGCATCCTCGTCACTCTCATTTCCAATGTGTCTTTTCTCTGCCCTTCGGGTCTCCGGCTGCGTGCATGCCACTTGTTCTG